CGGCCGCAAACGTAAATCGAGGTCCCGAATTCCCTAATCCTCAACACAGGCGGCGGCCGGTTCCTGGTCTGCGCAATATGGCCGCCACCGTTAGACACTACGGCCAATAGGGTTGAAGCGGCAGTGGTCCCCTGTGAGCCGAAGGTACTGAAAGTTTGGCGTCGATACGTCAAGCGGTTTGGAAGTTATTGCAGAGAAATGGGAGGGGGGCTATGAATAGCCCCCCTCCAGTGGGGCGCGGGTTAAAATGGTTGATATTACCCGGCAGGCGGAGGACCTCCCGGCCACCTTCTGCGCGGTGGATGGGGGAGCATTTTTTGCCCCCCTCGTATCTCCGAAACTACCGGACGAATCCGTAAAATGTATGTATTTATGTATGTATGTATTTATTTGAACGCCCACAGGTATGACACCCATTTACAGACGCAGTCCGATACTAAAACCTATAAATACATGTGCTCATGGGTTGTCAAATATAGGTTAACCCGCGCCCTGCTGGGGGTCCTGGATTTCCACGCCCTGCTGGGTGGGGGGGGGGGGGGGGGTGTTTGAACACCCCCCCTTGTAACTCGGCTCCTGGGCCACGTAGCGATACGCGGAAGGCGGCGTTCGAAAGAGCGTCAAAAATAATGACGAAATCACTTCGGTCAATTTTTTGGTCAGGTCAAAGGACAGGTCACCAGAGGTCATTGAAGGCAAAATTTCGCCAATTTCCAGGTCGAATGTCGAAAATTTCCAAGAAGCCAACGCATAACTCGGGAACCAATAGAGCTACAGCGCCGCGGAAAAGCGCATTCGATAGCCCTATTAACGCCCTTTCTGAGTAATTTTCTCAGATTTGACCTAACGTCAACGGTTTTGACTGCAGGGGGCAAAAACTGCAAAAATAGCCGATTTTTTCGGAAACAGTTTTTCTGCAATAACTTTTGACCCAAGCCTTGTACGAGCTTATTTTTACCGGCATCGTGTTCCTCTCGTCAAGAGGCATCGAATGAACTATGACTTGACCTTGAAAGGTCAACTTGAAAATTTGACCTCAGGTCAAGGTCATGACCTGACCGGAAAGGGTCATGTTGCATATCAGTCGATCCGTATCGTCGAGCTGAACACATCTAAGGCGTTTTCAGCGCTCTAGCATGCCTCTATCAAAAGTTATTTGCGAAAAACTGTTAGATACCATTCGTGACCTAAGATGACCTCAGGGCATAAACAAGGGTCACGGACACCATTTTCAAGTTCGGTGTGTCTAAACCACTTGTAATTCGGTGTTTGGGAGTGTTTATAATGTCTTTCATCCAAAAGAGGCGCATTTCAATTTTCTCCCATTGACTTATAATGGGGAGGTCGCAAAATTGACCTGACCTTAGGTCATCGATATCAAAATTCTGAGATATACATTTTGTACATGCTATTGCTCTTAGCAATCGCTGAAAGTTTCAAAGCGATCGGTCACTCGGTGTAGCTATGACAGACATTGAAAGTTTTTATGAGGTGAGGTCACTTCAAGTGACCTGGTGACCTGACCTTGAATGACCTTGGTCTGAAATTTTCACAACATGTGTAGAATTGATGTGTACCAAAAACGGCGGCGCTCCGCGCCGCCGTTTTTTAGATATTCGCGAAAAACCACAAGGGGGGGTGTTCAAACACCCCCCCCCCAGCAGGGCGCGGGTTAAAATTCAAAAGGCGTTTGATAGCCTTGTCAAATTTGTCAAGAACACTCCAATTTCATTGACCTCGGGGTCACCGATAACGTCACAGGTCAGGTCAAAGATAAAAAATAAAAATCACCGTTTACGGGTGTTCTAGGGAATGCGCTATAATACCGAGTAAAACGCATTTTGTCGAAAATCAGCGATAGGGCGTCAGTGCCTAGTAGTACGTACAGGGTGTCTCAAAAAAAGTGTCACGGTTTTGAACGTCTCCCATTTCCTAACTACATCACCTACACCGTTCAAATTTTCCAGATTTAGTGGCAATATTATGACATTTTGTGTGGCAGAATTTCAAGTTCCTAAGCAAAATGGTTTTTACACCAGAACAAAAAAATAAAAAACTCAATTTTGGGCGCTATAGGAGATGGTATACGTCACAATCTGCCGACGATTTCGGTAAGACTCCGGCTTTGGCTTGTTGCATCCAGCAACATGCTCGTCAGTAATTATCTACAACTATTAGAGACCAAAAACGTCACGCAAAACAGACAATGGAACTGCAATCACCCATTAGTCTCAGAACAGCGCCGTTGCCATGCCTGACTCTTCCGTCAAAAGCTGCAGTCGCTGACACCGTGCAAAGGACTTGTGACACACTGCCACATTGCGTACACCCAGAAGCTGTGCACGTTTGAGTAGGAATTTTGAAACTGTCCATCAGCTATCCTTTCTTCTCTTTATGTGTTTCGGAACAAAACCGAGTAGTGGATTTTGCCATCAAAGATGAAGTCGTCGACTGTCGAGGCATGGAAACTCGCGTCGTCTGAAAATCAATCAGTATTGATCGTTGCCCATGTTTGTGGCTGTGTTTCAGCTTGCTGCTGTGCTCCAGACGGCAGTTGTACACGGTGTCCTTACTTATAAAGGTTTCAAAAATGTATTGATGAGTTTGTTTCTGGATTTATGATCAAACGAAAGGGACCCAGACTCTTCAGGATCGACGGCAGGCTGTGACGTATCATCTCCTACAGCACGAAAATTGATTTTTTTATTTTCTTGTTCCAGTGTAAAAACTATTCTGCCTAGGAACTTGTAATTTTACCACATAAAATGTCAAAACGTTGCCACTAAATTTAGAAAATTTGAATGATGTAGGCCCTATGGTTACGAAACGGGAGATGTTCAAAACCGTGACTGTATGTTGCTATTTGAGGTCACTGATAATACCAGGTCAGGTCACAGGTCAGGTCACCAAGGGTCAGCACATGAAACCAACTTTACTAGAGTTGTGCGATGCATGTTTTATGACCAAATTTTCATTTCCAGATCAATGGTGCTGATTATAAGACCATCAGGTACGGTTTAGGTCACTTTCTGGTGGAGGTCAGATCAATGTCAGGTAAAAAAAAGTCAAATTTCAAAGTTGATAGTTTTGCATATAATGGGTATTGAATCGATGCAGCTCGTCACGGCGAGTCTAATGGTGGTCTTTGTTTTGCGCACTGTGGTCTAGAATTGCTAAAAATTGGGTTTGAAAATTTGACGTCATCAATTTTGAATAGTTTTTTTTTTTCGCTACAACCTGGCCAAAACAGAGGTACCTATCGATTTCAAATTTGATATGTATTTAGAAAGTGGTATGGACTATCACATATATTCCGTTTATTCGAAATTCAAAAAATGGATTTTTTTGCCTATTATATTATAAAAATAACTTTTGGATTTTTGGGGGTCAAAATCATTTTTTTAATCCCAGATAGCAGTTCTGAAGCCCTGTGGATTCTACACCTTTTATGTTTGAAACATTTTTCTGTATCTCTAAAGCTGTAGACCTGACAGCTCTTCCCGCGAAACCTTTTTTTAGGTCAAAAATGGCAGAAATGACGTCACTCCGACGTCATTAGCGGCAAACCTATCATAGCCTTCGGAGAAATGTTTGGTCCCAATGTGTATTAGCTACTCCCAGGAGGGTACTGAAGTTTGGTGGCGATCGGCGCAGCGGTTCTGGAGATACATCGAAAAAACTAAAGAGGGAGGGGGGGGGGGCAAAAATGCCCCCTCCACCTGGAAGGTGAAGGACTGATTTCACTGAGTGCTTGTATCACTTAACCCGCGCCCCGTTAAGGTCTGACAGGTTTCACGTCCTGTTGGGGGGGGGGGAGGAAGCCCCCCGTGTCGTATCTCCGGAACCAATTGCCGGATCGAAAAAATTCAAACGGTATTCGAAAGAGCTCATCGGATGCACAAGATAGGATATCGATGACATTGATATTTGATCTGTGACGTCACAGGGAGGTCAAACAAGGTCAAATCAGTCCAATTTACAATGACGAGAAGTCGGTCATAAAAGTGAAATATAAGTTTTCAAAATGAGTCTGGATATGATGTATATGATAAATATGGCATGTGGATAGTCACCTGAGTGGATGATGACCTGTGATGTCACAACAAAGGTCAGCCTCGACCAATCAGAAAACACTTTCGTGAATCGTAAGGAAAGTCATGTTAAATTGTGAATATTTGAGTCTTTATGAAGACGTCATATATATGCCACCACAAAAACCTCCTTGATTTCTTGGACCTATGACGTCACAGGAAGGTAAAGTAAGGTCAAATTGTACCGGTTTACAGCGAAAATCAAGTTTTACGTAAAAGTGACTTTACTCACGTAAAGGATCATATTTAGTCAGGAAGAGGTTGATAAGAATGATAAATATTACTCCTGACTTCAAGCACAAATACCGAAAATATTGTGACGTCATAAGAACAGTCGCTACTTGTTCAGTCATTCAAATAGGCATTTTTAGTTATATTTTCCTAATTGTTGGTATGTGTAAGGCCAGTAAGGGGTTCTCTGACACCTATATTCTGGTTTATTGAAATTTTCCCCTAATTTCAAAAATATATCAAGAAATCTAAATCGAAAAACCACGGGGGGCCCGTTGCCCCCCCCCCAACGGCTCGCGGGTTAATGTGATGTCATGTCGGAAAAGTATACTTCTGAAGGGCAATGTTTTTTTTTTTTAACACAAACCAAAATTAAAGTTCACCGCTGTAAGTGAGAAAACTGGTCACAAAACTCATCTACTGGCTTAGTGCTCGAAGTTCTATGCATACATCTGTCTCCTCTCTCTCTCTCTCTCTCTCTCTCTCTCTCTCTCTCTCTCTCTCTCTCTCTCTCTCTCTCTCTCTCTCTCTCTCTCTCTCTCTCTCTCTCTCTCTCTCTCTCTCTTTCTAATGCTGATACAAGAAGAACTGATATTTTTTAAGAAGAAAATATCAACTGATTTCAACTGATCAACTGATAAGAAGAGCTGATTTTTCTTTTATTTGTATGTTCCACAGGTGGCAATAGTGCTAGCGGCGGATGTACCGACCAGGACCGAAATGGGGAAGGATTTCGCGAAAACAGGAGCGTCGGAAAAAGAAGAACGACACATTTCTTTGCCGATCTGCGGTGGAGCGCTACTGAACGATCGATACGTGGTGACCTCTTCTGAATGTGTCGCTCCGCACAGTGCTGCTGACATCGTAGTTATGCTGGGAAAGTTTCTTTCATCGACAGACCCAGAACGTTATACATTCAATGTAGTACAGGTAAGATATTGCATTTGCTTGTCTGTGTAAGCACTCGGTGTGTAGAACTGTTTTTCCAAAACTCGACGGCAAGAGTGCGGATTTTTCAACATATAGGCGTAGGAACAAGGGGGCCGGGAGCCATGCCCCCACTTTTCAGCCATTTCCAAGGCACGCATAGCTTGCAACCCCAATGCTTAATACGTTTTAACCAAGAATCACCAAGTACAAGAAACTAGAAAGCCTGCAACTTGCAAGTTTTAAACCCATGAAAGCTACCGGTTTCCTTGCATATTTGACTACATGTAACTACTATGGCAGGGGTCGGCAACCTATTACCTACGGCCCGCGGGCCGGATCCGGCCCGCGACCATCTGAAGTCTGGCCCGCTGCTGGTATCAGGATCTTACATTGTGTTCCGGCTCGCCGGTCCTCATATACGTAAATCGACTTTTTCCCCACACAAAAGATCAGCCCAATGATAATGGCGCCCACCAAATATCTGGTCAGATAATAAGATGACACAAACATTTCTTCCATTTTCAAACTCGCCTTTTCCTCTGCCAGGGTCTGTCTTAACCCGCGCCCCGCTGGGCTATTCAGCCACACGCGCCCTGCTGGGGGGGGGGAGATTCTGCCCCCCTGTCTAACTTCCGAACCGATGGTCGTAGAAAGAAGGGGAAAACGGCAATCGTAAGCTCTCAACAAGGAGGATCTAAGGAGCCCCAATTTGTTTGCTGAAGTAGGTCAGAGGTCAGGTCAAGGTCAGGTCAAGGTCAGGTCAAGGGTACAAAATGCAAGTTTCTACATTATCAGTCTTGCACCGTAGTTGCCGAAGAATGGACTGAGACTGATTGCCCAAAACGTGTTCTTAGGCTACCAAGACAATATTCGTTGCGTACAATATCATTCAAAGGTCAAGGTCAAGGTCAGGTCAGGTCAGGTCAGGTCAGGTCACCAAAAACAAAATATAGAAAGGGCATGTGCGACACATGTTTATGGGTCATATTCATAGAATTCAATAGGCACACTCAATAAGTGATATGGACCACCTCTGGATGAATTTCAGGTCAATGTCAGGTCAAGGTCAGGTCAAGTGAGGTTAAATTTTGAAGTTGGTTGGTAAGGCCTGAAAAGCTGTCTAGCTGATGTAGTTTTTCACGGCGAATCGAATGGTACCATTTTTGTTTCCGTACGAGGTCTAGAACTAAAAAAAACATTTTTTTTTCAAAAATTTCGTGTGTCGTGACGTCATAAAATTTTGAATAACTCCCACATTTTTGTACCGATTCTTCTGAAAAATGGTATGTAGGTGCACATAGACCACTTCTCTGACATATCTTCCGGTTTTACGATACACCCAAAATTTTGGATTTTATAATTATTTCCCCCAAAAAAGTCAGTTTGTTGAAACAAATTTGGTCAAAATCCAAAATTTTCAAAACACAGAGACAGCCATTTGGTAGACAAAGTAAAATCACGTATAACTTTTTTGTTACTTCTTGATTCCTCTAAAAATTAAGATGTTAGCGGCGTTTGAAATTTTGCCGTTTTTTAGGCGAAAATGGCGAACATGACGTCACTAAAACGTCATTTTCTCAAACAATGTTTCGACGGATTTTACTCAAATTTTCAGGGAACGTGTCAAATTGATGTTTGATGTGATACTTAAAGTTTGACGTTGTTGGCGTAACGCGTTTAGAAGTTATTGTCGAAAAACGGGAGGGGGGAGATTCTGCTGGGGGGAGGTTTTTGAACACCCCCTTGTGGTTTTTCGCGAATATCTTAGAAAACGGACATCAACAGGTCACTTGAAGTGACCTCACCTCGTCAAAAGTTTCAATGTCTGCCATAGCTACGCCGAGTGACCGATCGCTTTGAAACTTTCAGCGATTGCTAAGAGCAAAAACATGTAGAGAATGTAGGTATGTCTCAGAATTTTTATATCTATGAGCGGTCAGGTCAATTTGGCGACCTTCCCATTATAAGTCAATGGGATAAAACTGAAATGCGCTGCTTTTATAAACACTCGAAAGCCATTATAAATACTCCCAAACACTGAACTACAAGGAACTTAGACACACTGAACATGAAAATAGTGTCGGTGACCCCTGTTTATGGCCCTGAGGTCATCTCAGGTCACGAATGGTATCTAACAGTTTTTTTTTCTCGCGAATAGCTTATGATAGAGGCATGCTGGAGCGGCGAAAACGCCTTAGATGTGTTCAGTTCGACGATACAGATCGACTGATAAGCAACATGACCATTTTCGGTCAGGTCATGATCTTGAACTGAGGTCAAATTTTCAAGTTGACCTTTCAAGGTCAAGTAATAGGTCATTCGATGCGTCTTGACGATAGGAACACGATGCCGGTAAAAGTAACCTCGTGCAAGGCCTGGGTCAAAGATTATTGCAGACAAAATTGTTTCCGAAAAAAATCGGTTATTTTGGCTGTTTTTGCCCCCTGCAGGCACAAAAACGTTGAAGTTAGGCCAAATTTGAAAGAATTACTCAGAAAAGGCTTTAAAAGCCCTCACCTGCCGAGAGGGGGGATGCCGCCCCCATAGCTTTTTTTTCGCGATAGCTCCGAACACGCTGGCGATAGAAACCTGAAACTTGGCATACCTGACCTTTGTTTCAAGCTGGATCTTTTGACACCAACCGCATTTTCGGGTCAGGTCACTGACCTATGACGTCACAAGTGAACCTCTGCAGCTGCACGGTCTTCAGTTGTCGCAACTTCGCAACGCCCTCACTGCCAGAGGAGCTTTCACAGGGAAATGAAACTTGCAGGATCTAATATCCATTACGAGTCTCACAACTTGTAGCTCCCGGATTTTTTCTTAAGGTCATATGAGGTCAGGTCGTTTTCATGACTGCATTATAAGTCAATGGGGGAAAAAATGAAAACTGCTATTCTGGCGCCGGCAACGATCTCCAACTATCTCAAGCACACAGAATCGTGATTTGATGCACTCCTTGCAAGGTAGCTCTATTGGTTCCCGGGTTACGCGTTGGCTTCTTGGAAATTGTCGACATTCGACCTGAAAATCGGCGAAATTTTGCCTTCAATGACCTCTGGTGACCTTACCTTTGACCTGACCAAAAAAGTGACCGCAGTAATTTCGTCGTTATTTTTAGCGCTCTTTCGAACGCCGCCTTCTGCATATCGTTACGTGACCCAGGAGCCGAGTTAGAAGGGGGGGGGGGTCAAACAGCCCCCAGGTCTGTTTCATCATATGACACATGGCAAGGCATGTGAGCTATTAGAACTGAAAATCCAACGCTGTCATATTTCCAAAGTATTGCGTATGAATGTAGAAAATTGTAAGTATACTATGGTCCGGCCCGCCGGCTGCTTGCAAATCTCCATCCGGCTCGCACTCAAAAAAGATTGCCGACCCCTGATGTAAGGAGTTTAACCCGCGCCCCAGTGGCGGTCTCGGCCAACTTCGCCCTAGTGGGGGGGGGGGGGGCATATGTTACCACCCACCTCTAACTCAAAAATAAAGAGGACTAGAAAGACGCGGTAAAAAGCAGTCGATAGCTCCTAATGCGAAGTTTGAAAGTATTTCGGTCATTTTTCATCTTAGAGCAATATTGAGGTCACTGGAGGTCATCAAAGGTCAAAATTTGCCAAATGTCATTATATTTCTCAGAAAACATGCATTTATCTCAGGAACTATGATAGCTAGAAAAACGCATGGGAAAGCAATCGATAGCTTTTGAACTCTTCTTTTGATAAGGTCATTATCAAAATTGACCTTAGGTCAACGGTTTAGTCTCCAGAGGAAAAAACTCCAAAAATAGCTGCTTTTACTAAATGTGTTTTTGGACAATTACTTTTGACTTAAAAAAAATCTAGGACATTTCTATTGCCAGAATCGTGTTCCTCTCGCCGAGACGCGTCGAATGAACTATAATTTGACCTTGAAAGGTCAACTTGAAAATTTGGCCTCAGGTCAAGGTCATAACCTGACCGAAAGTGTCAAGTTGCATATCATTTGATGCGTCTCAACAAGACAAACGCAATGAGACCATATCCAGCGTCCTATCTCTTTCCAATCGAGAGTTATTGGCAAAAATCTGTTTGTAGCCTCAAATGACCTCGGATGACCTTTCTAGAGGCTATCAGCAAAAAGACACCTTGGTCGTCACGGGTGGTCTAAATCATTGTGATTCTGAAATATTTGGACTGTTCCTATGCGTACACACGGATCTAGAGACATTTTCATTTTACTCCATTGACTTATAATGGTAAGGTCACGTCACTGAGCTGACCTTAGGTCACGTCACTGAGCTGACCTTAGGTCACGGATATAAAAATCCGAGATATACAAATTGTAGGCGCCCGTAACGTCATGCAATCCACCAAGTTTAAAACCTTTCTGACAAACACTGCAGGCTGGACATGATTGCAAACTTTTTTAGGCTTGGTCAGTTAACTTGACCTGGTGACCTGACCTGACATGACCTGGGGTCAAAAATTTCACATATTGTCCAAAATTGATGTACAAAAACCTACTCCGGGCGGCGCGGCGCTACGCTCCGCGGTTTTTTATTTACACGCAAAAAAAAAACGCGACAGGGTGGTAACATATGCCCCCCCCCCACTACTGCACTGGGGCGAAGGTTAACCTTCGCCCGCACCTGGGTCAACATTGGTTGCCACTTCGCCCAGATAGTTTTTCTGCTCTGCACTAAACATTTTTAAAGCTATAGAAACCTGATTTTTCGTATAGCTGCTTCTCTATCCTTTTTCAGCAGCGACCACTGAAAATTTCAAGGTTCTGTGGTTTTTGTTTTGGGAATATGTCCTTGTTCTTCAGGTCATGTCATGACCTAAATGACCAATACCCAATATCTTGCGTGGGCTATGGGTCTTGTGAGCTTTTGACACCTTGATTTTTTTTTTTTTTGCTAGTCTTACCTCCCACGTATCATGGAACATGTAATTCGACGATGTACAGATGTCAGGGTCAAGGTCAAGGCCAACGTAGGTCATCTAAAAGCATTGCAT